CTCAGTTCCTGTTGTCATATCACCTTTTCTTTTGGTTTCACCTCATTTCCTGTTGTTATTTTTTTTTCATCTTTAAAGTTTTGATGTCCTCACCGTTTCAGATTTTGCTTATCCTGTAGGTCGCGGATCGTGAAATTAATACAATTGCTGTTACCCATTGCATAGAGGCGACTAACGTGCGAATCTCCTGCAGAATTGAGGATTTGCTTGTGTGTCCTATACCTGGGGACATACAAGCGATCAGTATAAATCTGCTGCAACCATTGCAATATTTGGGATATTTATTTCTCTCCACATCTAACTTCTTTTTATTTCCTAACGTCTTTTGGCTTTTTTGTCCTCAGGCCAAGACAAACCAAAGTCCTTAAAAGTGTAGTTGCTATTTCCTGCTTAACGTTCAGCATTCAGGTACATCTGGTTTACCCGTTGTCAGTTAAATGTGATCGAGCGGGATGCTGTGCTGGGTGCCTTCGGCATAGTATTTCACTGAGATAGCACTATAAAATCGGCATCAGCTCTGCGCTATCACAAGGAGACAAATAAACCGACATACCCTGTCTCCACATGCACACACACATAACACACATGGAGGCACTCCTTAAATGACCTTAGCTTTTAGTAGAACGTTAAACAAAATCAAACCAAACCAAACATACATATAGATATAGATACACATACGTACATAGATACAAAAAGTATACGTACACAGTTCTTAATAAAGGAATTAGAAAACAAGCTAAAAGCTTATAATTATTTCTATTCAAAATATTGAGAGATTTAAAAGTGCACCTGTGGTTTTTTTCTCTGTTAGTGTATACAAGGAACGCACAGATTTACATAAGCAGTCGTTTGCAAATGCATGTTGCTATATTTCACATCTTATGAATTAATTCGCCAGTTTGGAAAAGGAAAATATTGTTTCAATTAATTATCAAAATATATTTATAAAAGTCACAATAGATTATCTATGCCCCAACATCAAAGTTACTGCAAAGTATAATGCACGCATACACAACACACATGGAGGCATGTCTTTAAATTACCTTTGCTTCGCCCGGTCACATTATACTGACAACGGATGAACCATATTTGTTGCCATTAATTACCCCTAAATGCTAAACAGTTAAGCAGGGAATAACAGCTACCATTTTTAAGGACTTTGGTATGTCCCGGCATGGGGACAGAACCCATTGCCTTCCTCCCAAGGCCTAACGCTCAACATTAAAGCCAGAAGTGAGGTATTGCCAAGCTAGGCGCTAGGAAATAAAAGGTAGATATATTAAGATACCAAATGTTGCAATGGGTGCAGCAGATTTATTTTGGCCGCTTTTGTGTCTCCAAGTAGAAGGAACAAAAGCAATTCCCCAATTCTGCAGGGGGTTCCCATATTGGTCGCTTCTTACGATACATGCAGTGGGTAACAGCAGGAGTATTCTTTTCTCGATCCCCGACCTGCAGGGGTGTTTAAAAACTAGTAATAGGTCACGGGTACTAGCCTCGTCTGTCAATAGACCCATAATATAAAGAAATGTTTATAGTATGACTGTATTGACAGACGAGGCCAGTACCAGAGGATATATATCATATATATGTAAAAAAAAAACAGTTATGCGGAAACATGTTCATATATAAACATATTATAGTTCTGCGATATATATATATATATACATGATGGGGGAAATACAAACAATAGTGGTGTGGTGTCAGTTTAACAATTTAGAAAATATCTATTGTTTGAAAACACCAAGCGTAAGCCTGCTCGATATGTGTATTACAACTAAATAAAACTTGAGCCTGTGAGCATAACTTGTATAATAAATTCTTTATACTGGGAACCACTTGCAGAAAGATGGACAAAGGCCTTAATAATAATGATGTATAAAATCTCAACAACAAAGTTGCTTTCGTTCCGAATGCACTTATCAGATCGCAGAACCAGGGGAACACAAACAATTATCATCAGATTTAAACTATTTCTGGTCAATATTAAAATCAATTCTTCCTCAGAACTATTGGAACATGGAAAACACTACTGGAATATATAGCCAAGTCACCTAACTTGAACGCCTTCAAAACAGCTCTGTCTCATCTGCTATAATCATATTTTGTAAGACATGCATATATTTTCACCAGGTTACAACCCATGCCATCCCACACCTTCTCTGCTACCTACCCCTACTACTGGAAGAAAGCTTGAAAAGTCCCCCACCCCCTCCTCGCCCTTCCCTGAAATGTATGAGTGTTGTGCCTAATGCATTAATTTTCACTTAATTTATTCACTATATGTCGCCTCCAAACAAATTAATTATATGTGAAGTATTACCAAAAGATCTACTTCCAAGAACACTTGTAGATTACGACAACTGCACTCATACCTATAAGTTCTGTCGCTGGTTACAGAAGAAGAATACATGTACGTGTGATAAACAGAATTACAAACTAGACATCTAGAAACATAAGTAACAAAAACAGAGGGAAATCTACGTTGTTATGTACTATGTAAATACAAGTTAACGTTGTTCTTTGTGTTGGTGGAAGGGGGGAGGGGGGAGTTTAATATACATACAACATCAAACTCGACAAAGATCTTTTTTTTTTGTTTTAAAAACAAAATGTAACAAAAATTAGGAGGAAGGACAATAACCGGTTTGTACAGTCCACGTAATAGGGGAGCGAACTCCTGTAAATGTCCAAAATATAACTCGCTGGATTGGCCGACTTCGAAACATGAAACAATGAATTTTCTTGACTACTTGATACTTCTCAGAGTGATGTTCCGCTGTTTTTGTCTGACAAAGCAATCATTCATCTAAAATATATCAAAAGATATGCAAAATCACTGCTCTGTTAAAACTAATGGTTCTATGTAAAACAAAAACTTAAGTAAAATTAAGATGGTATTGAAAACCGTCTCCTCTGGAAAAAAACACCCAGACAAACACACAGCTAGAGACAGACAGATAGACACACAGATAGTGATATGGAGACAGATAGCTTGTGCAAAATGGCCATCTTTCTGTATCAACAATACTCTTTAAATACCAAAATTAAAAGCAAAAGATAATACCAAGTGGTTTTTAAACCAGGTTTGCGACCAGCTAAAACCATCCGTAATAATGCATTTTAATCCTATATAACCTTCGTATTTGCAGAAACAGATATGTTTGGACACAGGTGGTTTATTGTGACTTTTTCAGATATATTTCGTTATAATTAATTCAAACAATGTTTTCTTTTCCCAACTGACGAATCATTTCATTATGATGTAAAATATAGCAAAATGCATTTGAAAACAAACGAACTGCTTACTTGTATGTAAATGTGTGCGTCCCACATAATTGGAGAGAAAAATAATTATTAGCTTTCAGCTTGTTTTCTAATTCTTTTATTAAGAATTGTGTATGTACACGTGTATGTATCTATGTACGTGTACGTGTGTATGTATGAACGTGCATGCATATCTGTACGTGTAAGTGTGCACGTGTATGTATCTGTGTACGTGTGTGAATCTATATATGTGTATATGTATGTATGAACGTACATGCATATATGTACGTGTGTACTTATATACATGTATATGTATGTGTGAACGTGTATGTATCTATATATGTGTGTAGTTGTATACATCTTCATTTGTGTGTGGGTGTGTGTGTGTGTGTGTGTGTGTGTGTGTGTGACTATGTGTATATATGTACGTGTGCGCACCGATATGTGTATACTTGTATGTGTATCGATGTATGCATGAACGTGTATGTGTATCTATGTACGTGCGTGTACCTACGTGTATGTACATTTATATGTCCTTTGTAAGTGTATAAACTGTTTATGAAATACAAAACTGTGAAAACATTAATATGCTTTAAACTACACAATCAATATTGAATTTATTGAACACTCATGCATATAGTAGTCTCCTTAATCTATCGAGCTGTGTTATATTTAAACTGTGGTTATTTCTTCTAGACACATGTACGGTTGTACATTATATTACTAACTCTAGAGGATTCGAGAATATTTAATCTTAAAGCTCAACATAAGTTTTGTTTTTAAATGCCTTTGTTTTTATGCTTCACTATCCCCAACTGTTACACCTTCTGCTTTTTAATGTATTACGTCCGTTGGTTAGATTAGAGTAAATTTTATGTTATTTCTTTCAATTCACACACAATCTAAACAAATGTACATACATATATATAAGCATATACAGAAACAGGATGTGGAAACAAGCTTAAAGCTTATATTAATCCACTTCCTTCACATAGAAATTACCTTTTAAAGTTAATTAGATTGATATACTGAAAGTCTTTGAAAAGAATGATTCAATGTAATTTATCAAACAAACGAGGCAATAATTTATCACACTGTCCTGAATTCCTTAAAGAGTGCTTACTTCTGTGAGCTAAGGCGTACTATAGGGACTGCCTGATATTTTTCCTGATTAATCATATAGAAAAAAAAACATGAATTGAATAATGAAACTATATATTTTGTTTTAAGGTCAGTTATTTCAAGTACACAAAAAAGTTACCGCCCATAGCTATAACAGTTAATGGCAATGTCAAAACTTCAATTAAACAAATGAATTGTGAATTATGGTATGCAGTAATTATTTTAGATCATAAATATACAATAGCTCAGCCTCCTCAGGTTGCTTGAAAGGAACATATAAAGGTATACATACTGTAGACTATGCTATCTTTAAAGACAGCTGCGCCATATTCATCCGCAATATTGGCCGAGACGTTAGAGGCAGAGTCTTTTGTTGTCCAACTGTATCTGTCTACAGGTATGAAAATAGATTTTAGCCTGAGCGAGGGGTATTAAAAAAATATGATCCATTTTCCGCTTGAATTTGTAATAAATTAGATAACCCTATAGTTTTATCTGAACGATTTTTTTCAGTTAAATTAGTGAAAAAAGTTTATGTGAATTCCGCTTGAAAACGTATATGACAGAGTTACTTCCCTTGAATGGTTTCTCTTCAATGTAAAGAGGCGAGTTTCTTCTCCACGTCACATTATATGACATTATCACATCTGCATGGATATAATTCATCGTACCAGATTTATTGACGTCAATATATGAAAAGCAAGATGTGAAACGTGACATACATTGCATTTCGGACATTTGAATGGTTTGTTTGTTTATACGTCTAAAACGGAGCGTACCTCTTCAAGATGTGAAGCTAAATTTGTCGGCCATTTTCAAGAATTTCTGTGTAGGATCACCAATATTGAAATTAATTTATAAGCGGTAGGTAATTCTCCATATGGCATGTTACTTACTCTCATGTCCAGTACGTTTATGTTGTGTTGCTTTCACTTATATTTTGTTATTTGAAACAAATACTGTGCAACCTATTGCAAAAAGAATCCTACATGTGTGAATTTTGACAGTTCGTTGACAAATTTACGTCAGTGTCGTCAACATCGATTGATGTCATTTTGTTGAAAGGTTCAGGGACTGTTGTTGTGCCAAAAATATATGAAGTCTTTCTTATATTTATGGTATTTTCTGTTCGACTTTCCCTGAAGTTTTTCTAGAAATATCAGTTCGTCGCCACAAATTCGTGTAAAACGGCTAACACTGCTTGACATTATAACAGGCTGTGATAACACCTGGATTGACAATTCTTATGTTTAAGATAATTGACAGTCATTCATGGTTGATGATGAAACCTCTGACTGATGTTAAATATGATGCAGTAGACTCTGGAACGCTTCAGTGCAACTGTGCAGGGATCTGTTCCAAGACCTAAAAGCCTTAGGTATGCCCAACCTCGTCCAGCTTATTTTTACTGTGCCTCTGTCTGACTGTCACAAAGTACCAAAGGGTTATATTGATAAAGCCAGTCTAAAAAGTTTTCCAATGAAAGAAGCAGGTGTTAATGGCTTTATATACTCTTTTTATTTATCGTTGTACAGTGTATGTGTAACAGAGGTCATTATTTTTTCAATGCTTCGGCTCCACCAGGAGTCAAACCAGGAAAGAAGTGAAAAGAAAATCTCCCTAGCCAAGTCGGTAGGGACTTAAGCGGCTAGTATTTTACCGCCCAGGGTGACATGCATACTCCCCCTCCAGGAAAGAACTCGTCCTGAGTTTCCCAGGGGTCATAGCGATTCTTGTGAAAGTATCACTGAGAATATATATTTGTCAAATATTACCCGGGTCTCTATGTGAGTGCCAATGTAACAGAGGTCATTATTTTTTCAATGCCTCCGCCTGGAGTCCAACTAGGCACCTCTGGCTTACTAGTGTTATGCTCTACCGAATGAGCTGAAGAGAAAATCCCCCTAAGCCAAGTTGGTAGGAAATCGAAGCAGCTAGTATTTTACCAGGGTGACAAATGTGATTGAAATTGTTTTAAGTTGGATTGCTTACGTTAGTGTGGCAGATTTTAATTGTACATAGGATTACAACTGCCTTCTAGCTTCGTGCTTGGGGGGAAAATCTCTTTCCTGTCCATGGTGACACAGAGTTAGAACCAGCTGGCCATGGGTTGTTGTGGTGTTTGAGGGCGAACACTGTCGCATTTAAAAAGGGGGATAGTGTGGAAGATTTTAATTGCGCATAAGATAATGGCCATTTTAATTTTTAGCTTCATGCTCGGGGGAATTTCCATTTGGCTCAATGTTAGAGCATCTGACTAGAAAGTTTGTGATCGCAGGTTTGATCCCCTGTGGAAGCACACTACTCTATTTCTTGTTACATAAGTTTTGATCTATGTTGAAATCTCTTACAATTTATTTAACATTAGATATATTCTGAAGTATGTAAAAATATTCAGAAAATATGTTAGGATGGTGCAATTTATCACTATCCCCATGTTCATGTCCGGAGAGTAGTCACTGGCCTAAAGGGCTTCCAATTGTTTCAAACAAAATGAACTGCAGGCTTACAGAAAAAAATCATCTGACAGAGCCCTGTGGGCCTGTGGCTAAATCAAGCCCTGATAATACAATGTATGTGTATATCATCATTTCTATTGACAGGTTCAATTTGACTCCTTTGGAATAATGTTGCCAGTGAAAAAAATGAACATGTGATAAAGCAAATAACGAAAAGTTTCATTAAATTTCAAACTGTACAAAAAATGACATTTCATTTGTATTTTGATAATTGTTGTTATTTGCTATCATAAACATTTGCTTTCATACAAACAGTCCAAAGGTTAAAAATCAAAAACACCATTCTAGTGACTAAATGGAGAACAGATTTGTAATATTTTTGAAATAGGGAGATCTAGAGTTGACTGAATTAATCTGTGACTATCAAGTAAATTTGTGATCATGATCATATGAGGAACTAATTAAGTCACAGAATTATTTAAATTTGGTCGACTCTAACTATCACAAATAGGGTGTGATGCATTATTCCATGATTGACCCATTAACTAAAGAACTGCATCATCAGCATGTATTTCATTGAAACTTTTTCGCATGTGCAAGGTAATTGTTAATAGATCAAATAATGCATTAAATGCATTTTTTTGGCAGATTTATGATGTACCTCTTTTCTTTACACCATGTCTTGATAATGTAACCTCTTAACTTCTGCATAGATTTCATTGAAATTATGTGCATACTACACCTAGATTGTTTCTTTTATTTTTATTGTAAATGCAGGTCTTTTAGTAGTAGGCCCTTGGAAATATCTTTTTGATGACTGTCTGAAGTAAGTTTTGACTCCTGAGTTTTTTAAAAGCCTTTTAGTGTATATGTGACATGTGTTTTGATCCTTAAATTCAGGGAAAATGTTATTTGACTCCCGATGTCAAGAGTCAACTCGTACTGTGTTCTTGTATATGTAAGTTTTTTTATCACCTGAAGTTAGTCTAAGGAGGTGCTTGGTATTGATATTCTACAGCTTACAGTTAAAATTTGTTTCAAGATCTGAGGCTGTTTGTCTTTTTCAACATTACATATATCATTCATGTCAAATTCTTTTTGTAAAATTTGATGTGAATTTTATTTTTTCATAAGTTTTCTCTCTATCTTTTTGGAATTTTTTTCAGAAATTTTCCAGCATGGATCCACCAAAGAATGGTATATACATCATACAGGGGGAGATCTCCCTGGTGGTCACCGCAATGCGCCGGTCATCTCGCTGGTCAGCACACAATCTTCAAGACGAGGAGGCAGACCCTTTACTTGGTGCCTTCTCACAACTAAAAGATGTTTTAAATAATATAACAGGTATGGTCAGCACTATTAAGAACTGGACTGTTTCTGAAATTTGAAACCTACATATCAGTTGGTCGAGTGTCTTCAAGAGTTTAAAAAAGGGACCTGTTTTGGTTTCGTATCCAGATCCTGTATGTTGTATTTTCAAATTTGTTCATGCATTGCATTCTGGTTACAAATATTGAAGCTGTTTGTCAAGTGAATACCCAAACGTTGTTTATATAATACGCTATAGTGTTGTATTTGGTGGACATATCTATTAAGAAATGCTCAAATTGGTGAAAAGAAAGGGGTTGACCTTGAATGAGTTGATGGCCAATGACAGAACACTAAAATAAAACTCAGAGGTCTTTGTCTGGGTAAAAAAATGCCACTAATATGTTATCATGGTATATGTAGAATTTTTTTTATTTTCTTATTCTAAATTTATTGTAGATTTGGATGAGATCGAGCCCAATGCGTTCCTCAGCCCATTTTTGGACGTGATTCGATCCGAGGACACAACAGGTCCGATCACTGGACTCGCCCTGACATCTGTCAACAAACTCCTCTCCTATGGCCTACTGGGTAAGCTTTTAAGAGATCCTCTGAAATACAACATTTAGACTCTAAATATCCTGACGTTTTTAAGGTCTGGATTATAACAGATATATCACCCCGTAAATTTCAGTTGATTTAATTAGAACACCTCATCCTTTCCCTAACAATTAACTTTGAAATATTCCAAAATACTGACATGTACGTTTCAGAATATAATAACAACAAAACATTTGTGAGGAAAGGTATGAAATATAAATTGGAATATATTTCAAATTCATTGCTTCTGTTTTTAAGTTCCAATTTGGGGCCTTTTTCTGCTTGTGAATTAGTGCAATTTTTACTCAAAACCTTCCACAAATTTCCCATGTAAAACAAAGTGATATGATGACATGATTATAAATCAATAAGCAAACAATTTCTAGCCTTTTAAATGGCATTTGACAAAGAAAAACAGCTCCTTTTAAATACATTATACCAATGCTCTATTTATTGATTGAATTCCATGTTTTTTCTTGACTCTGAATTTCGACAAGAAGCCACAACAGATGCAACGCCTGCAGCTGTAGAAAACATAGCAGACGCCGTCACTCACGCTCGGTTTGTAGGGACAGATCCTGGCTCTGATGAGGTTGTACTCATGAAAATATTACATGTGAGCACATGGTTTTTATATACATACTTGGCCACTAAAGATTTTTATTTATTTAATGTTCATTTAAGATGAACAATTTTGAAGATGTACAAGTTGATTTTTGGCAGTATTTTACTATTTGAATGTTTATTTTTTCCGGTGTCTAGGATGTTCATAATTTTTTGTAATTACTGTTCAATAAAAGTTAAACTTATCAACAGATATATTGTGATATAAAAATGTTTTGTAACTATCTGCGGACAGCCAGTAATAAAACTGCTTTTGAAGTTGACAACTCTACCTGTTAAATTTTCTATTGAGTTACCATATATAGAAATTGAAAAAGATCACTTTTTGTTTTGTTTTATTATCATTTCTTCCTAAATCATCACTAATTGACATCTACCTGTTATTCATAAGTGAGGGTCTTGTCTTGTAGGTACTGAGGACACTGTTACTTTCACCAGTCGGTGTCCTACTCACCAACGAATCTGTTTGCGAGATCATGCAGTCCTGCTTCAGAATCTGCTTTGAGATGAGGCTTAGTGGTGAGTCCAATGACTGTACAAAACTAACAGCGATTTTAGGAAGACAAACAATGTCAGTAGATATCTCTTAATGTCACATTACTTATTGCCACATGTTGGTTAATATCATGTTTTAAAAAACCACCATTTATCACCGTAATGAACCGTTATGAAATTCAGTTTTTTCTTTATCATGTGATTTGACATAATGTCTTTCAGTGTCATGTTTTTTACCTGTTTCCCAACATATTACACATATAAGATATATGTGTTTTTGCTGTAACATGAAAAATGAAATGGTGAATTTTATTGCAATGACACTTAAAGGTCAATTTTACATATTGATTTTGTAGAACAGTCCTTTTTACTGTTCATGACATCTGTATATACATATTACATTTACAATGTTTCTGCTTTTCCACCTGGCCAGAGCTGCTGCGAAAGTCAGCTGAGCATACCCTGATGGACATGGTCCAATTGCTCTTCTCCCGCTTACCTCAGTTTAAAGAGGACCCCAAGTGGGTGGCTAGTATGAAAATGGTAAGTTAATGCAAAAACTGTTACAATTACTGTAACTTGTTAAGTAATATTTGACTGAATTGAGGAAAAAATACAAAATAAACAATAAATCATTTGCAAGTGGTTAAAGTGTGCCTGCTAAGTCATGTGAACAAGAGAAGAACATGTACAAAATATATTTGTCGTAATCCACACCAGCTTAGTCACTAAGGTGCTGGGCTAGTATAACAGATTGGGAGTAGTGCTACCACATTTGACAGACGATACATTATTTTTTTTAAGAGCATGCGAGTATAACTTTAGTTTATTAGTTTGAGCAATGTTTACCTCCTGACCATGTGTTTGACTTTCATACTGACAAGTACGTGATTGAAAGGCTTTATGTGTACCCATTGACAGATGGATGACATTCACAACTACTATAAACAAATGAATATGAAAATGAACGGCGTACAAGGGTCATCTTCATGAAGAAAATATTTCTTTTTAGATAGCTTGCTGAAAGTTCTTCACAAGCGACATTTTCAAAGTAAAATTTACCTATATTCATATTTTTTGAGATTTTCAAGATGTTAAATCTAACTTTGTGGGCCATTGTTCTTGATATGATTGATTTCAAATGTGAATAGTTAAAATGACTTAAAATTATAAAGAGGATTTTATAATAAAAATCTAGGAGAATTGATTTTCTTTAAAACTGTATTCTTAATAAATGTTTACTTCTACAGTTAAAGATGAGGACAGGAGGAGTTGACTCTTCAAGGCATGTAAGGAAGAAGAGAGCGCCCCGCCCCAGACAGAAGCGTACCTCTCCGAAACCCAGTCTACAGCCTGGGAGTCAAGACAAAGTGGAGGGCGGGGAAAAGACAATCGAGGGGGTCAGCTATGTAAACGCTCCCAAGGAGCGCCTTGCTACCACACCCGGTACCCCCGGGGAGGAGGGGATCATAGATATTTCCAAACAGTTCCGGGTAATAATAGCAACAAGTTTAAACCCTGATCGTGATGGAAAAACTTTTGATTTTGTCTACCATGAATCCAATTAATGGAAAAATGTGACTTTTCAAACACTGATGCATCATAAAGATATTGCATTGTTTATTAGCTTCTGGCTTTATGAACTAAATATATGATCATGTATATTCATTGTTAGAAAGAAAAATGATCTTCCTGTTTGGTAGTTCTATATATTACATAAGCCATACACTGCTTCTGTATTTTGTGGGTTTAAAACTATTTCGTAAAGAGAAACAGTGAATGTTAAAAAAATCACAAAATAAACTTTTCAGGGGAAGAAAGTCAGGAATTGTTACCTTATCAAAAAAACTATTTCCAGCATGGAAATCGAGTGCAGGCATCAAATTCATTTGATGATTTTTCACAGACATGGCTCAAAGATGTCTTTGTTCCCTAACTATACCTGCTTAGGGGACCAGACACTGTAATCTTTTAAAGTCTTATAAAGAGCCCTTTATAAGTAATATACACCTCATATCTTAATAATATATCAAATTATAAAATGTGAAAAAAGTCAGATTCAGTAAAAGTAAAAGTTTGTCTATCAGAAAATTTCTGAATCTTAAATATTTTCTCAGAAACTAAAACATCTGCTTCAAAGGGGATCGGAGTGTACTAAAAAGTTAGACTTTTCTTACCTCACATCAGATATTTCTGTAATCTCCAAAGAACATATTTAAAAAGCACTGGATACATTCTTGAAATAGAAATGATTCTTTAAACTGGTAGAAATTTATACCACACGTTCGTTCATTTTCAAGAATGCATCAGAGCGAGAGAGACAGGATATGGAGAGTGAAAACGCTGAAGCTCTCCAGACAACAGAGGAGGATAAGCCACCTCCAGGAGAGGAGAGCTCTGAACAAGGGGAAGAACAAACTGACAGCTCGGCACCTCAAGTTATACTGTCTGTACCAGAGGAAGAAGAAATGGCATATGACAGAGTAAGTTGATTCTGTAAAAGGTTGTGTATAACAAGAACTAACCATCTTGAATGAAGCAGACAACTTGAGGTAAAGAAACTGGTTTTGTTACTATGACTGCATGAGAAATGAGTATAACACCGATACCTAGGATCAAATGGTGGTTTGTACTATAAAAAGTTATATATTTTGCGCCCTTTCTCATCCTTTGGAGTCACCAAATATATGGGATGCTGGAAAAAAAATGGAAATTATATCTCGGTAGAAGTACTGATATATACATTATCTGCTGGTTTGGAGAAGGAATAGACCTGCTATATATTCCACTGCATGTTACTGTAAAAACCAACTTATATGAGGGGCATCCAGCAAAATCAGATTTTTTTTCAGTGTCGCCTCATGGCTTAGAAGACATTGAATAAACCTGATTTGTTCTGCTGCCCCTATTGCAGCACCACAACCTCTATTTTGTATTCAGGCACCCCTCTTTATATAACCTTTGGCAACTGTCTTTATGTGATCTTAAATAGGTAAACCATTATTGATGTTCCTGTTGCATTTACATTGAATGCCACACGCTCCCTGCAAGGTCAATAAACATGGTTGTATAAATTTTGTCACAATTCCTCCCCAACAGAAGTGGAGTGAGCCCGAGCTGTTTATTGAGGAGCAAGCAGACCAGCTGAGTCTAGTGTCGGAGGCGGGAGATGACAGTGAATCTGTACAGTCAGCTGCAGATGTGTCAGACAGTGCTGCCCAGGACGAGTATGTGAACCCTCGGGGTGTCCGATTCACACCCCACCAGTCCAGGGAAGGTAGGTTTGATTTGAGACTACATTTTTTGTTTGTTGGTTGTTTAATGTAATAAAAACTCTTTAAGGTCATATTCCTACTGAATTACTGAACTAATCCGGCAGTAAGCCCACACCTGGTATGACGCATATCTATATCTATTGCAGGTCAGGAAGATCAAATGAAGGACATTGTTCAGGATCAAAACAAGAATTTCTAGAAATATGTTAATTGTTCAAAGCAGATAATCACTACATATCAGTCGGGTTATAATAACTGTTGATAGACTATACAAAATATAGACATATTCACTCATTTTTGATATTAGAGATATGTGGTTGTATTGCTGAAAATGGAGAAAAGGTTGTGTGTGTAAATCATTCCTTATACTGATGTAGTTTCTGTTGATAATTGTCTCCCCAGGTTCTGGGCCTCTAATACCATATGGGCTGCCATGTGTTCGGGAGCTGTTCCGTTTTCTAATCTCGCTGACCAATCCGATTGACCGTCATAACACAGACGTTATGATCCACATGGGACTAAGTCTGCTGACCGTGGCTTTTGAGTCTGGAGCGGACCACATCGGACAGTATAACTCGCTCCTGTTCCTCGTCAAGGATGAGATGTGTCGACACCTCTTCCTGGTAAGCCTTTCTCACAGAATAATCTGGATCTGTATTTGATGGTGCTTGCAAGTCTGCTCAACCTCTGCAAGTGCCAGACAGCTGACATGATCTTGTCCACAAAATGATGGCATCATGCTAGCATTGAAAATGCAATAAAAATGCTATGATAATTGCAATACTGATAAATTCAACTCTTTGCTCTGCATTTATGTTTTTTCAGACAAGAATCAACATGCATTGTTAATTTGCAGTCATGGAAAGTTTGTCGCAGTTTAAAAAATTTCACTCACCATAACATAGAGTTTTGTCTTGGTGGCATACATAAGTACAAAATATCATATACATTGTAATTGCACTTAGGCAAATTCTTATTTTAAATATATTCCGTTCAGTTTTGTTTTTCCCGCTTTATATAATATGAGGAAAATGTTTGTCTGATCCAGCTATTACAGTCAGAGAGGTTGTCCCTGTTCTCCGCCTCCCTACGAGTATGCTTCCTGGTGTTCGAGTCTATCAGGAGCCACCTTAAGTTGCAGCTGGAGGTACGTTATTGGTCAATTTGTTTGAATTCCTTCAAAGTTTTCCTTGATTCTCAAGAGCTTAAATAAATATTTGAAATAATTTGTTATATTTCCATGGCCGAATGTTCAAGGCATCTGACCGTCTATGATCATTAGCCCTCCACTACTGGGGCGTGGGTTCTAGGCCTATGTTGGCCAATCCCTAGTTACAGGCCACAGGTTTTTCTCCAGGTACTCTGGTACCTGGTACAACATAAATGACCGTAACTGATTAATAGGAGGTAACACACAGACAAATATGGTAGTGAATTTAGTAGCACAGTTTACAGAGTGCCTTATTTTATTGTGTGAGGAAAATATTGATTTCTGTTTGTCCGTTTATAATATTTTTCAGTACTGTCTGACCTCCATAATTTTCTCCATAATTCTGTTTGTAGATGTACCTGACAAAACTTACCGATATCATTATATCAGAGTCTCCGAGGATATCATACGAGATTCGTGAGATTGCGCTGGAGTCGATTGTACAACTGTGGAGGATCCCTGGCCTGGTAACAGAGCTCTACCTAAACTACGACTGTGATCTCTACTGTTCCAACCTGTTTGAGGATCTCACAAAACTTCTTTCCAAGGTACAATCTTGTTAAATTACAAAGCAGCACTGTTTACAGATCATTTCAGTTTTGTTTTAAAATAAGTTGACAAAATTAATTGAACACACAGGAAACAACAGTCAGGAAAATGTTCAAATGTAAAGTGAACCTGTTGCTAATCTTTAGTGAGGAATAATAGGTGTCAGATGAATTCTAACATGGTCCTCTTCAGAACTGTAAACTTTGCCGTTGGGTGAAAAAAGGACCGTATTGATGGGGTCAAAGGTCATTATAAGAAACCTTGAGTGATAATATGATTTTGTTATCCCATTCAGAATGCATTCCCAGTGCAAGGTCTATTCTCCACCCACCTGTTGTCACTGGATGCTCTTCTGACCGTTGTGGACAGCATCGAGCAGCACTGTCACAGTCGCATACTGACCACTACAAAGAAGGTCACGGACACTGAGGTCAAGGTCACAGAGGAAACGAGTGAAGGTAAGAGGTCACAAGTGCTAATCAGGTAAAAGTCACTTTTTTTTTAAACAAGTAGTGATGGGCCGATACTCGACTATAAACTGTGTAAAAGTTGGTTGTAAAAGAAGAAAACCAAATGTATAGTTAACAACTCTGTCAATCGATGTTTGCAATAGTGTTATCATTGTATTTTGATATTCAGTCCAAAAAAATCTATAAACTGATCTGACATGCTATCAACCATCAATTAGTTTACTAATGTACTTCCAATTACAAGTGAATATTTGATTATGATTTTAAACCAGTTGCCCATCACTAGGCAGAAGTGAGTGCACAAACACAATGAATAGTGTCATCAGTGATCACTTCAGTTATGGTCACAGACCTCTGAGGTCAAGAGTCACAGATCCAACAGAACATCTTTGCTGTTTTATCCAGTATTTGGATACCCATCATCTAGATTCATGCAATATGTATTTCATTCTCAAGGTTTTGTTTCATCAGGTAGGTAATTTTCCACAATATGCAACAGGTAGCAGAAAACTCTGCATAATGCTTGGCTTACAAAATTTCATTTTATTTACAGAATTTACAGTATGACAATTGTGGACATATATTTTCAGGTGATAAGACAGAGGAGTCAACCCCCCTTGATGGAACAGAGCAAAACAAACCGAATGCACCCTGGCTTGGGCCCCCTACATCGGGATATGCCATGGGGCAGAGAATTCTACATTCAAAAGATCAGACTCCATCAGGTACTTTTCATTGAGAAAGTGACTTATTACACCGATGCTTATTGCTTTCCAAATAATTAAAAAGAAGTTAGCAGACAGAAATGTTCAAAATTTCTGGGTCATAGATAAGGTAGCAGAGTACAGTATAAATGGCCTGATCCTAGAAATAAAGGACATATCTCAGATAAACATGGATAGTGGATTCAACCTGCACAACACATCTACATATATAAATATATATATTTATTAACTACATTTTGAATACATTTTGTTTAGAAGACATACTTTTTTAACAAAAACTGTTTTCCCCAGATTTGGGACTTGTGAAAACCATGGTTACCATATAAAAAAACACCCAAAAATGCAAAATATCATGATTTTCAAGTGACCTATTGCGATTGCCTTTCTTCCGGCGGCGTCCATCCATAAACAATTTACATTTTCGACTTCTTCTCCAAAACCCCTGAACCAATTTCAATGAAATTTTGCAGAAACTTTCCATGGCCAAAAGTCAACCAAAATTGTGAATTATATGGTCCCCAGCCCCCAGGGTAAAATTACCCAAAAAGGGTAAAATTGACCAAAATTTCAAAAATCTTCTTCTCAAGATCCAGATATGGTAGAATCAAATACTCTTCATAGATGGAAGGGTCCCAAGGTGCTTTACCAAAATTCAGCTGACTGACAGAACCACTATTTGTACATAGTACATATACTACCCAGATTGTTCACACTACTTTTGCATTACATGTAGTTCAAGTTACCTTTGTTACAAAATGATTTCTTTTTCATTTGGCAACATCGATAGCGTCAGTTTTTACATAACTCAGGTGACCGTTAAGGCCCATGGGCCTAGCCTCTTGTTTTCTTCATATTCGAAATGAACACAGAGAAGTCACACTATTTTAGACAACATCATTTACGGTATTATACCACGTGACAATGCACAGCCAGTGATACCCGAGAACCAGGATGCATAGATGGCGGTATACACTGTTCTTCTATATTTAGAACACAAGAAAATTACAACAGAGTTGGACATTCAGAAATGTTTAGCGTTACAGAATTTCGTGCAGTCAATTGGACAAACACACAGCAAGACAATCGACAATCGTTTATTTTTTTAGCGTCAGATTTAATGTGTAACATTGACTGGTTATGTAAGTACATGGTAACAGAAATACTTGGGTTTTAGCATAGGTCATTCCGGGGGATTTTTCACAATATTTTCACAATATGTACACATGTACTGAGTACAAAAATAGACTACATGAAAAGCCAGCTTTTGTTGTGTAGACACAGATTTGTAAATGCCCAAAACTAGTCTCAAACCAAATTCGATTTTTGTTTTTGAAAAATTATGAATCCCACATAGTCATCTTCATCATGTTCTTACTTTGTATCACCCATGGCCACCACATGCTACTGTACACTGCTACCTAAATTCCTTGCTTACTGCCAACATATTTCAACATCCCTTTTTCAGAAGAATTCTTTCATACATTGCCGTAAATTTATCGCCAAACCTCTTTATAATGCCAAAATTTCTCTGGAAAAATGGTGACAGTATAATAGTTATTTCGTTCTTGTCCAGATGCACCAAAACCTGTCAAGGTGAAGGACATGGGGAGGCGGGGTCCACAGATACGACCAAACAGGATGAAAGCATCGGTCAAGATCCCTGGGACAGAAGAACTCTCTGCAGTCAAACACAAGAAGAAGGTGGGAAGCTTATATTATAGATACACTCTGTTGGGAAATGTTGTAAAATACCTTAACCCTTTCATCACTGTAGACCATAATGGACTCGTCCATATCCATGCATGGTAGAGTCTTCTTAAGTTACATAGGGGTGAAAGGGTTAAATATTGGTTTTATATTGCTTTTTTCATGCCCATAGTTACATTTGTACAATTTGACAGTAATGGACAATTTCTTAAGGGAAGTCTAGAAATCAATCTTTTTTAATTTATGAAACTCAATTTTGTAAGTTGTTATTAAACATCTTGGTGGCAGTAAGTGTTGTCCTGATATACGGTAATAAACTTTTTTCTGATATTTTTTGCTTTAATAAATGTTGATGGTCAAATTAAGAAATATAAGTTTGACATAATAACCTATCTGGAGTACTTGATGAAATCTTAAACAAAACTGACTTGTTAAGGCGTTATTTTGGTTACAGCTCTATGAATGTTCTATATTGTCATATTTATTTTCCTTGTAGCTTTATTACACGGGCACAGAACAATTCAACCAGAAGCCTTCCAAAGGTATATCTTTCCTCCAGGAGCAGAATCTACTGAGCACCCCACTCGACCCAGGAGAGGTGATCACATTCCTTAAGGAAAACCCACGCTTAGACAAGGCCATGATTGGCGAGTACATCGCCAAAAAGGCAAATGCCAAAGTCTTGGAAGCCTTCGTCAAGTAAGTTTGGTTCTTCTTGTTCCGTGGCACCTTTAAGACCATTGGTCTGGACATGTCTGTTTGAGTGTGGGAAATCTGGAGAATAATACCTGCAAAGATGTATAATTGGTCAAGAAATATAAAGAAACCAGTGCATCTTTTCACAAAATATCTTACTCTATGTCGTAAGATTTTGACTCTTTGTCGTGAAATTTTGACTCTTTGTCGTAAGATTTTGATTCTTTGTCGTGAAATTTTGACTCTTTGTCGTAAGATTTTGACTCTTTGTCGTAAGATTTTGATTCTTTGTCGTAAGATTTTGACTCTTTGTCATAAGATTTTGACTCTTGGTCGTAAGATTTTGATTCTTTGTCGTGAAATTTTGACTCTTTGTCGTAAGATTTTGACTCTTTGTCGTAAGATTTTGATTCTTTGTCGTAAGANAAGATTTTGACTCTTTGACGTAAGATTTTGACTCTTTGTCATAAGATTTTGACTCTTTGACGTAAGATTTTGACTCTTTGTCGTAAGATTTTGACTCTTTGTCGTAAGATTTTGACTCTTTGTCGTAAGATTTTGA